GTGCCACATCTTCTTTATCCATTCATCTCTTGATGGACACTTAGGTTGCTTCCATGTCCTGGCTATTGTAAATAGAGCTGCAGTGAACATTCTGGTACATGACCTCTTTTTAAATTATGGTTTTCTCAGGGTATATGCCCAGTAGTGGGATTGCTGGGTTGTATGGTAGTTCTATTTTTAGTTTTTTAAGGAACCTCCATACTGTTCTCCATAGTGGCTGTATCAAATTATATTCCCACCAACAGCGCAAGAGGGTTCCCTTTGCTCCACACCCTCTCCAGCATTTATTGTTTGTAGATTTTTGGATGATGGCCATTCTGACTGCTATGAGATGATACCTCATTGTACTTTTGATTTGCATTTCTCTAATGATTAATGATGTTGAGCATTCTTTCATGTGTTTGTTGGCAATCTGTATATCTTCTTTAGAGAAATGTCTGTTTAGGTCTGCCCATTTTTGGATTGGGTTGTTTGTTTTTTTGATATTGAGCTGTGTGAGTTGCTTGTATGTTTTGGAGATTAATCCTTTGTCAGTTGCTTCATTTGCAAATACCTTCTCCCATTCTGAGGGTTGTCTTTTTCTCTTGTTTATGGTCTCCTTTGCTGTGCAAAAGCTTTTAAGTCTCATTAGGTCCCATTGTTTATTTTTGTTCTGATTTCCATTTCTCTAGGAGGTGGGTCAAAAAGGATCTTGCTGCAATTTATGTCATAGAGTGTTCTGCCTATGTTTTCCTTTAAGAGTTTGATGGTGGCTGGCCTTACATTTAGGTCTTGAATCCATTTTGAGCTTATTTATGTGTATGCTGTTAGAGAGTGTTCTAATTTCATTCTTTTACATGTAGCTGCCCAGTTTTCCCAGCACCACTTATTGAAGAGGCTGCCTTTTCTCCATTGTGTATTTCTGCCTCCTTTATCAAAGATAAGGTGACCATATGTGCATGGGTTTATCTCTGGGCTTTCTATCCTGTTCCATTGATCTATATTTCTGTTTTTGTGCCAGTACCATACTGTCTTGATTACTGTAGCTTTGTAGTATAGTCTGAAGTCAGGGAGCCTGATTCCTCCAGCTCCGTTTTTCTTTCTCAAGACTGCTTTGGTATTTGGGGTCTTTTGTGTTTCCATACAAATTGTGAAATTTTTTGTTCTACTTCTGTGAAAAATGCCAGTGGTAGTTTGATAGGGATTGCATTGAATCTGTAGATTGCTTTGGGTAGTAGTCATTTTCAGTGTTGATTCTTCCAATCCAAGAACATGGTATATCTCTCCATCTATTTGTATCATCTTTAATTTCTTTCATCAGTGTCTTATAATTTTCTGCATACAGGTCTTTTGTCTCCTTAGGTAGGTTTATTCCTAGATATTTTATTCTTTTTGTTGCAGTGGTAAATGGGAGTCTTTGCTTAATTTCACTTTCAGATTTTTCATCATTAGTGTATAGGAATGCAAGAGATTTCTGTGCATTAATTTTGTAGCCTGCTACTTTACCAAATTCATTGAATAGCTCTAGTAGTTTCTGGTAGCATCTTTAGGATTCTTTATGTATAGTATCCTGTCATCTGCAAACAGTGACAGCTTTACTACTTCTTTTCCGATTTGGATTCCTTTTATTTCTTTTTCTTCTATGATTGCTGTGGCTAAAACTTCTAAAACTATGTTCAATAACAGTGGTGAGAGTGGACATCCTTGTCTTGTTCCTGATCTTAGTGGAAATGGTTTCAGTTTTTCACCACTGAGGACGATGTTGGCTGTGGGTCTGTCATATATGGCCTTTATTATGTTTAGGAACGTTCCCTCTATGCCTACTTTCTGGAGGGTTTTTATCATAAATGGGTGTTGAATTTTGTCAAAAGCTTTTTCTGCATCCATTGAGATGATCATATGGTTTTTCTCCTTCAACTTGTTAATATGGTGTATCACATTGATTGATTTGCGTATACTGAAGAATCCTTGCATTCCTGGGATAAACCCCACTTGATCATGGTGTATGATCCTTTTAATATGCTGTTGGATTCTGTTTGCTAGTATTTTGTAGAGGGTTTTTGCATCTATGTTCATCAGTGATATTGGCCTGTAGTTTTCTTTCTTTGTGACACCTTTGTCTGGTTTTGGTATCAGAGTGATGGTGGCCTTGTAGAATGAGTTGGGGAGTGTTCCTCTGTCTGCTATATTCTGGAAGAGTTTCAGAAGGATAGGTGTTAGCTCTTCTCTAAATGTTTGATAGAATTCACCTGTGTAGCCATCTGGTCCTGGGCTTTTGTTTGTTGGAAATTTTTAATCACAGTTTCAATTTCACTGCTTGTGATTGGTCTGTTCATATTTCTTCCTGCACAGTCTCAGAAGGCTGTGCATTTCTAACAATTTGTCCATTTCTTCCAGGTTGTCCATTTTATTGGCACAAAGTTGCTTGTGGTAATCTCTCATGATCCTTTGTATTTCTGCAGTGTCAGTTGTTACTTCTCCTTTTTTATTTCTAATTCTATTGATTTGAGATTCTCCCTTTTTTTCTTGATAAGTCTGGCTAATGGATTATCAATTTTGTTTATCTTCTCAAAGAACCAGCTTTTAGTTTTACTGATCTTTGCTATCGTTTCCTTCATTGCATTTTCATGTATTTCTGATCTGATCTTGTAATATTTCTTTCCTTCTGCTAACTTAAGGGTTCTTTTGTTCTTCTTTCTCAAATTGCTTTAGGTGTAAGGCTTGGTTGTTTATTTGAGATGTTTCTAGTTTCTTGAGGTAGGCTTGTATAGATATAAACTTCCCTCTTAGAACTGCTTCTGCTGCATCCCATAGGTTTTGGGTCATTGTGTTTTCATTGTCATTTGTTTCTAGGTATTTTTTGATTTCCTCTTTGATTTCTTCAGTCATCTCTTCATTATTAAGTAGTGTGTTGTTTAGCCTCCATGTGTTTGTATTTCTTACAGATTTTTTCCTGTAATTGATATCTAGTCTCATAGCGTTGTGGTCAGAAAAGATACTTGATACGATTTCAATTTTCTTAAATTTACCAAGGCTTGATTTGTGACCCAAGATACGATCTATCCTGGGAATGTTCCATGAGCACTTGAGAAGAATGTGTATTCTGTTGTTTTTGGATGGAGTGTCCTATAAATATCAATTAAGTCCATCTTGTTTAATGTATCATTTAAAGCTTCTGTTTCCTTATTTATTTTCATTTTGGATCTGTTCATTGGTGAAAGCGGGGTGTTAAAGTCCCCTACTACGATTTTGTTACTGTCGATTTCCCCTTTTATGGCTGTTAGCATTTGCCTTATGTATTGAGGTGCTCCTATGTTGGGTGCATAAATATTTACAATTGCTATCTCATCTTGGATCGATCCCTTGATCATTATGTAGTGTCCTTCTTTGTCTCTTGTAATAGTCTTTATTTTAAAGTCCATTTTGTCTGATATGAGAATTGCTATTCCAGCTTTCTTTTGATTTCCATTTGCATGGAATATCTTTTTCCATCCCCTCACTTTCAGTCTGTATGTGTCCCTAGGTCTGAAGTTGGTCTCTTGCAGACAGCACATATACAGGTGTTGTTTTTGTATCCATTCAACCAGTCTATGTCTTTTGGTTGGAGCATTTAATCCATTTACATTTAAGCTAATTATCAATATATATGTTCCTATTACCATTTTCTTAATTGTTTTGGGTTTATTATTGTAGGTCTTTTCCTTCTCTTGTATTTCCTGCCTAGAGAAGTTCCTTTAGCATTTGTTGTAAAGCTGGTTTGGTGGTGCTGAATTCTCTTAGCTTTTGCTTGTCTGTAAAGCTTTTAATTTCTCCGTCAAATCTGAATGAGATCCTTACTGGGTAGAGTAATCTTGGTTGTAGGTTTTTCTCTTTCATCACTTTAAGTATGTCCTGCCACTCCATTCTGGCTTGCAGAGTTTCTGCTGAAAGATCAGCTGTTAACCTGATGGGGATTCCCTTATGTGTTATTTGTTGTTTTTCCCTTGCTGCTTTTAATATTTGTTCTTTGTATTTAATTTTTGATAGTTTGATTAATATGTGTCTTGGTGTGTTTCTCCTTCGATTTATCCTGTATGGGGCTCTCTGTGCTTCCTGGACTTGATTAACTATTTCCTTTATCATATTAGGGAAGTTTTCAACTTTAATCTCTTCAAATATTTTCTCAGTCCCTTTCTTTTTCTCTTCTTCTTCTGGGACCCCTATAATTCGAATGTTGGTGCGTTCAAAGTTGTCCCAGAGGTCTTTAAGACTGTCCTCAATTCTTTTCATTTTTTTTTCTTTATTCTGCTCTTCAGTAGTTATTTCCACTATTTTGTCTTCTGATCACTTGTCCATTTTTCTGCCTCAGTTATTCTGCTATTGATCCCTTCTAGAGAATTTTTAATTTATTGTGTTGTTCATCATTGTTTGTTTGCTCTTTAGTTCTTCTAGGTCCTTGTAAACATTTCTTGTATTTTCTCCATTGTATTTCCAAGATTTTGGATCATCTTTACTATTAGTACTCTGAATTCTTTTTCAGGTAGACTGCCTATTTCCTCTTCATTTGTTAGGTCTGGTGGGTTTTTGCCTTGCTCCTTCATCTGCTGTGTGTTGCTCTGTTGTCTCATTTTTCTTAACTTACTGTGTTTGGGGTCTCCTTTTCACAGGCTGCAGGTTTGTAGATCCCATTGTTTTTGGTGTCTGCCCCCAGTGGGTAAGGTTGGTTCACTGGGTTGTATAGGCTTCCTGGTGTAGGGGACTGGTGCCTGTGTTCTGGTGGATGAGGTTTGATCTTGTCTTTCTGGTGGGCAGGACTGTGTCCGGTGGTGTGTTTTGGGTTGTCTGTGACCTTAGTATAATTTTAGGCTGCCTCTCTGCTAATGGGTGGGGTTGTGTTCCTGTCTTGCTAGTTGTTTGGCATAGGGTGTCCAGCACTGGAGCTTGCTGGTCGTTGAGTGGAGCTAGGTCTTAGCGTTGAGATGGAGATCTCTGGGAGATCTTTCACCGTTTGATATTATATGGGGCCCAGAGGTCTCTGGTAGACCAATGTCCTGAACTCAGCTCTCCCACCACAGAGGCTCAGGCCTAACACCCAGCCGGAACACCAAGAGCCTATCAGCCACACAGCTCTGAGGAAAAGGGAGGGAAAAAAAGGCAGAAAGAAAGAAAAAATGAAATAAAATTATTAAAATAGAAAACTTAAAAAAAAATTTTAAATAAAAAAATTAAAAAGTAATTTAAAAAAGAGAGAAAGAAAGAAGAGAGCAACCAAACCAAAAAACAAATCCACCAATGATAACAAGCGCTACAAACTATACTAAAAACAAACAAAATAAAAACGGACAGTCAGAAACCTAGGACAAATGGCAAAAGCAAAGCTATACAGACAAAATCCCACAAAGAAGCATACACATACACATTCACAGAATGAGAAAAAGGAAAATATATATATATATAAAAAGGAAGACAGCAACCAAATCAGTAAACAAATCTACTAGTGATAATAAACTTTAATTACTAAACTAAGATAAACATAAAACCAGAAACAAATTAGATGCAAAAAGCAAACCCCAAGTCTACAGTTGCTCCCGAAGTCCACCGCCTCGATTTTGGGATGATTCGTTGTCTATTCAGGTATTCCACAGATGCAGGGTACATCAAGTTGATTGTGGAGATTTAGTCCGCTGCTCCTGAGGCTGCTGGGAGAGATTTCCCTTTCTCTTCTTTGTTCACACAGCTCCCGGGGTTCAGCTTTGGATTTGGAACTGCCCCTGCGTGTAGGTCACCTGAGGGCGTCTGTTCTTCACTCAGACAGGATGGGGTTAAAGGAGCAGCTGATTAGGGGGCTCTGGCTCACTCCGGTCGGGGGGAGGGAGGGGTACGGATGCAGGGCGACCCTGTGGCGGCAGAGGCCGGCAGGACGTTGCACCAGCCTGAGGTGCGCCATGTGTTCTCCCGGGGAAGTTGTCCCTGGATCACGGTACCCTGGCAGTGGCAGGCTGCACAGGCTCCCAGGAGGGTAGGTGTGGAGTGACCTGTGCTTGCACACAGGCTTCTTGGTGGTGGCAGCAGCAGCCTTAGCATCTCATGCCTGCCTCTGGGGTCTGTGCTGATAGCCGCGGCTCATGCCCATCTCTGGAGCTCCTTTAAGCAGCACTCTTAATCCCCTCTCCTCGCAAACCCCGAAACAATGGTCTCTTGCCTCTTAGGTAGTTCCAGACTTTTTCCCAGACTCCTTCCCGGCTAGCTGTGGTGCACTAGTCCCCTTCAGGCTGTGTTCACGCCGCCAACCCCAGTCCTCTCCCTGGCATCCAACCAAAGCCCAAGCCTCAGCTCTCAGCCCCTGCCCACCCCGGCGGGTGAGCAGACAAGCCTCTCGGGCTAGTGAGTGCTGGTCAGCACCCACCCTCTGTGCGGGAATCTCTCCGCTTTGCCCTCCGCATCCCTGTTGCTGCGCTCTCCTCCATGGCTCCGAAACTCCCCCCTCCGTCACCTGCAGTCTCCACCCGCGAAGGGGCTTCTAGTGTGTGGAAACCTTTCCTCCTTCACAGCTCCCTCCCAGAGGTGCAGATCCTGTCCCTATTCTTTTGTCTCTGTTTTTTCTTTTTTCTTTTGCCCTACCCAGGTACATGGGGAGTTTCTTGCCTTTGGGGACATGTGAGGTCTTCTGCCAGCGTTCAGTAGGTGTTCTGTAGGAATTGTTCCACATGTAGATAGATGTATTTCTGATATATGTGTGGGAAGGAAGGTGATTTCCACATCTTACTCCTCTGCCACGTTGAAGGTGTCTAGGCCAACTTTAAAATGACTATTCTCAAATTTAAGCCCACAATTAAAATATGACTTGGAAATTCAGGGTCCCTCACCATAAAGGAAAAATTGATTTATTTGATCAGCACACTGACTGGATTTGACTGTTTTACAAAAATTTTAAATCTTAATAGGAAATGAAGTTGTCTTTTTAAAAGTCATTCCTTTGAATGTGTACAGAATTGAAATGTTAGATAACATACAAAGGTAGTTCAGGAATTATTCTTCTCTGGGTGCTAGTGCTGCACTAAAAGAGCAGCAATGTGCTGCAGATGGTTTTACAACAACATTCTCTCTGTGGCAGGATGGATTTATGGATTTCTGGAACAGTGATATGAAGAGCCTCCTCCCAGAATTGTGAATGTGCAGGAACCCACTGTCACTGGGATGTGGTCCAGAAAGCTGTCTTAATACTTGAAACAATGATAACAAAGTCTCAGCAAATATTTAGTAAACACTAAGTGTATCAACCATGTTGGTCATTATGACCTCCCAGTCTGACCTGATTGATTTTTCTTAAATGCAATCAAACATCACCATCATCTCCTGTCTCCAAAAATGTGCATACACATTCACGGTATGCAAAAGGAACAAGGTCCCAAGCATGTTTATAGTGAGCATGAGCCCTGGAACGTTAATATACAAAGTGCAAGGCCAGCAGAACATTCTTGAACAGACCAAACTGAAAGATTAATTTAATGGGAAACATTCAACGCTTCTAGCTATACACTGATTATCGAATGCAACTGTATGAAGAGTTTTATTATTTATTATCTAAGAACCAAACTATGCATTACATAGTAAGCTAGCCCTCTAAGACTGAGATCACTATAGAAGGATAGTTGATTTAAGTTTGCTGAACTGAAAGATAATAGGGCATTTCATGAAAGAAAAAGTATGCTTTTCTAAGAACCATGAATTAGAAGAGTCCATTTCCTTCAATGTAAGTTACATTGTCCAAGAAAAAACTTAAAACTTGGCAGGATCCATAGTATCACAGACTTATGTCCTTTGGCATAAATAGCCATAGTATTTTGGCCACCTCTGAAAGCAAAAGAACTGTGAAGGCGAGATGGAATAGAGAAGAAGAAAGAGCCAAGGAGAGGCTCTGCCATTATTTTTTTAAATTTTGGTTGATTGTCTTATCTTGTTTTGTTTTAAGGTAATTTCACAATAAATAATGGAAGAAAAAGTATATAACTTAGGACAAAACAGATGAAAGTTTGATGATAACTAGATTTCTTCATTTAATAGTAATCTATTCTATAAATTTTTCATATTTCATATGTGAAAAACAAGTATACTTGATCCCTTACTGGCAGGAAGAATTAATTTCTCTGATAATTACACCTAAGTATAACTGGCTTTGTATGATATATTAAAAAATGTAAGTAAACGTCACTCTTCAATGTTAACATGAACAGCTAAAGGGAAATATAGTTTAAAGTAAAACTATTTCCTAGTGTTGTATTTTTTTTAATTGACAAGATTAACTTGAGCACTAAGAAAATGAAATATAACCTTGAATTATAAGGCAAGTGAGATGCCTCAAGATCTATTTTTGTGAATATTGTCTCCTAAAGCATATTTCCAAAATCTTTTCAATGTGATTGATATTTTATAGAAGAAAAACAAGTTGTATAAATTTATTGAAAATGAAAAAAAATAGTTACTCATATAAAATTTATCTCATTCACATAATCCTTGACTCTGCAAACTGAAGTTATCTGTGAGTAAAATATAACCTTTGTACTGGAACTATAGCTTTGCTACATTAAACTTTACATCATTACAGTTTTCAAAATATTGAACCAACAAAAATCAAAACTCATCTTTTTACGAACTTGGAAACAAAATCAAGTCATCCTGAATTAGTGGTGAGAATGTAACTTATTGTTATTATTCCACAAGATAATAGATACCAAGGTATGTGCACAATTCTATTTTAATGAACATAACGGATTCTGAGACACTGACCATTTTTATGGCATACAGCACTGAACTATGTAAACGACCCAAATCTTTTTCAGGCTATGTCCCTAATGAGTCACATGGGGTAAGTACTTCACCACCTCTATTTATTTTAAATAATTTACATCTGTTTTTCTTCAGCAACCCAAATCCGATGTCAGACTTTGGATCATTTTATAACTTACGTGGCTTTGCCTCTTGACTATTACGCCCTCCTTCAACTTCCGTATTTCCATTTGTTCTCCATGAATTCACTTAGTCCTCCAACCTCTTGCCTCCCTCCATTTTATATCAAGCTGTAAATCTGCTATTGGATTCACTAGTTTCTCTACTCTGCCAGCACTGATAGCCTATGTATTATTTCATCCAAACACACGCTAGAATCTGCCACGTCCTTGGTCTTTCTCTGCATCTCTCTGGAAAATTCCCAATACTGTAGCCAAAGTGGTTTAAAATGGAGAATTTGGGGGATTATTTAGACCAGGATTATACCTCCCCTATGATTTAGTCAAGTACTGCCATTATCCCCAGTTGATTCCCTCATATAATGGTGACTATAATTTACTGATCACAAGAGATGTTGCAGAGATTAATCATAATGAGTTTGTGTATACCTTCTACAGTGTCTGACATATGGCAGCTGCTCCATAAATGTTAGCACTTTTCTACTCCCTTTTTAATTCTCAGGATGCTGAACACAAGAGAAACAAAGAGACATGCTATGGCTAACACTGCTGCCACAAATGTGTTGCTTTCAGTCAGAGCAGCATTCTTGACATTGTTTAGAACAGGATATTTATTTAATTACTTACCTTCTCTTATTACACTCAGATATTATACCAAAGCTCTTCTTCCTACAGTCTCTTACCCTGTGTCAGCATTCTGTAGCCTCGGCAGGTGATGTCAATCTCTATTTCGTTAAGATTATTCAGACAACCTTCAAAGAACCAAGGTCTCCCCTTTCCCACCCCCGCAGCCTCGGATTAACCATATAGCCTTCTACTGCAGGTGTTTTCTGAAGCTGTAGGAAAGTATCAATGTTAAGGAATCTTGTGTTTATTCAGAAATATATAGTTTTTTCTAATGATTGTCATGGTTCCTTTCTTAAAAGAAATCGAAACAGTTGAGTGCATATGGTATGAGGAATTAGGAATCACATCTGAAGTTTAGATGTTTGGATAGTTTTACAGTATTTACATAATCCATCGTGGGTATGAATATAGATCAGCAGTAAAGTCTTACACTTACATTCACAAGCTTTATTTCTAAATACTGAAAATGTTTGGTCCTTAAAATGCCATTTTCAAAGGTGTAAGTACTTTGAAACTGTAGGTACAATTTTGATTATAGTAAAAAACAAAAGTTATAGCTTTTTGTTCTTTTGAGTTCATGCATGATTGCATACCAACTGGAAACATTATGCAGAACTGGTACTGAAAATATAGCCTGGGGGCTGCTTATGGTCTTTTGACATGCTACCTTCTGTTATTCTGCTTAATTCATGACTCTAAAAGGCCAACAGCCCTCTAAATGAACTTCTGAGGAATTAGTGATCATAATGAAAATTGCAGCCCTTATTCTCTACTGTGTGGGTTGGCATAAGCATGTGTGACCACATGTAACAGGGTTAGAAGGAAAAATAATGCTTTGCCCTCTGGAATTTGACCCTATTTGAACTTTACTCATGTTTCAGGTGTCTACGGACTTCTTTACATTGAAATAGGACAGAATTATAAATAATGGCTTCAGATGGAAAAACAGAAAAGTTAGCTTTGCTTGGGTCAGCGTTTTGAACCAGCACCTGTTTTCTTCTTTGATTACTGAGCAGCTCAGTATGTAACAAGTTCAGAAGCAGAAGCTATGTCATAATAATACATGATGTGAGTATAAGCAATTAACCAGCACATACTATGTATGTCTCGTACCACAGTTTCATGCTTGACTAGTTATGCCTTCCTCTCTCCAGTATCATCTAATCACAAGGAGACCAAAGACTACAATGATTAAATAAGTAAATTTTTAATGGCAATGTTAGAAACTAAGTCAAATATCTATTTAGAACAGAGACCATTTCTCTTCCCTCCTTTAGCTGCTTCACCACCTAGCCCATTATTCCATCACAGTGGGCTTCTGTTGTCCAACTAATATAACTTATTACACTCTTCATTTGGTTTTGACTTTGTAAACTTTTGCGGAGTGAGTGAAAACCTTTATTTGGGTTTTCCTACTTGAAATTATCAAATAGCTGATTAAAATACTGAAAGTCAAATGTTTTCTATGAATATTCATCAGAATGTTAGAATATACTTGAAAATTTGGACTAATTTTATGGTGTGCAAGATTTTCCTTCCAGCTTAGCTCGATCTTAAAAAAAAAAAAGTAATACCTACCACAAAACAATTTGAGATTCATCAAAATTAATATGAATTGGTCTGAACTCACTAAAGTGAACATTTTACTATAAGTAAATCATACCTCAGTATTAAATAAATAAATAAATCCCAAGCCTTCTTTATTTGAGGCCAATCTTTAGACCCAAGCCACTCAGGAATCCTACCCAGTGCTACCTCCATGTACTGGTCACAGTATCTGCTAATGGTGGAAGTCCATTGTTAGCTATGCAGCTGTGTTCCGCTCAAGATAGACCCCTCCTTCCTCTTCTGTGCTATAGTACTTCCCCAGTTCAAGGCAGCCTGTGTCTGGAGTCAGGTTGGGTATGGTTAAAGGAATGGGAAGGTCTTTTATTGGCTGTGGTTTTTATGGATTCTTTCCTCTTTCTTCAACTCTCTGCAGACTCCAATGTGAGAATTCCATGCACCTTTAAATCTTGGACTGAACAACCAACACTCTATAAATCAGCTGGCTTCCATAGTCTGCTTATTGTCTTCTTTCTTTCCTACTTAAAATTTTTCATTTTTTATGGGGAAAAAAGAGTATATCTTTTCTAGCTTCATACTAGATTTCTATATTTATCTCTATCTTATTGGGCAGGGGAGACAGGAGAGTATTTAATGGTCAGAAACACAAATTAAATAAAAGATAATTTAATCCAATTTTTCAAATGAGGAAACTGACTCAAGTACTTGGAATGCATATACTGAACCAGAGCAGCATTTTTGGAGAAAAATACTAGTTGACCTTGATGTTACAAATATATGTTTATATTTTTAAAGTGCACACACACAAACACACACACACATGCACATAAAATTTTATTTAGAGAACACTTACAGGGTACTTGCCATATGTCAAGGACTGTTTTACATGCTGTATAAATAGTAACTCATTCACTCCTCATAGTAAACTAGAAGGCAGACACTATTATCTCTGTTTATAGACAGCGATGTAAAGAGGTTTGCCTATGATCACAAAGCTAGTAAGTAGTAAGTGACTTGAACCACTACGTTATACTGCATCTCATGATTTGGAAAAATCATGCTTACAACATAGGCAGAATAAATATTATCATTTCTACTGGGCAAATGTAGAAACTCAGGCAGGAAGCATTTAAATGTTATGCTCAAGGATAGCTGGATAGGAACAGAGCTAATCCTGGAACACAGAATGAAAAACCAGTTCTCCTGATTACTATCCAAAATTTCTTTTCATTATACCACATTGTCAAAGCTTCTCCACTTACGGCAATTATACCAGGCAAGTATGTTTGTTCAATTCTAGATACAATTTATCAACGTTAAATTTTAGCACTTTCATGAATTTTTATGAAAACACAGGATAGAAAATAAAAAATTTAAATTGCTACATAAATGATATGAACAGTATGCATAAAGAAACAAGCCTCAAACACAGTATTTCAGATGGATAGTTTTTACCATTTCAACTGAACAAATGTTTATTGAGTGCCTAATGTATCCAAGGATTTAAACTATGGGCTCAGAGTTGAAGGGTAAGCTGTGACAAAGCAAGAGAGTGTCATGGACATATATACACTACCAAACGTAAAATAGATAGCTAGTGGGAAGCAGCCGCATAGCACGGGGAGATCAGCTTGGTGCTTTGTGACCACCTAGAGGGGTGGGATAGGGAGGGTGGGAGGGAGACGCAAGAGGGAGGAGATATGGGAACATATGTATATGTGTGACTGATTCACTTTGTTGTGGAGCAGAAGCTAACACACCATTGTAAAGCAATTATACTCCAATAAAGATGTAAAAAAAAAAAGACTAAAAAGTAAGATATAATCCCTGACTTTTGAGTTCCCTAATCAGCCAGACAAGCCTACTTTTCAAAAATTAATTTTCTTCTCAAGGTATGGTTTCACACAGGGCTTGAATTTTTTTTACCTTTCCTAGCTGTAAAATGTAAATGAAATTGAAATCGCAGTAGGAAGATATCTTGTTGAATCATGGCAATGTGTGATCTAAAGTAAATTGTATAACCTCTTTCACTTCCAAACCATCCATTGGTAAAATAAGACAGATGATGCCTACCTCGAGAGTTATAAAAATAACATATAAAAGCCCTGTGTAAACCATAATATGCTGTAAAAAAATGTATTAGCTCACATAAGTTACGTTGATACTTGCATTTAAATCATAGAGACTTATTTGTAGTCAATTACACCATGCTGTTACCTGGGGCAAATACAAAAGGATACTCATTACTGTACATCTATCAAGAGCCAGGTGCTGTATCAGTGACTATAAGTACATAATCCCAATTACTCCCTATCATACTCTTACAAGGTAGTCATAGAATAACATGAGAAATCCAAGCGTCGAAGTGACAAGGCAATATCCCTGAAGTAACAACACTAGAAGGTAGCAGAATCATTTCAGTCATTAGGTCTTTCTAGCTTAAAAGGCCTTGTTCTTTCCATAACACCATGCTGTCTCATTAATTTGTGTTGCTAAGTTTCTTAAAGTTCATAACTTTAAAAAAATTAATTATGGTAAAATAAACATAACATAAAAATTATGAAAGTTAACATCTTACCATTTGTAAGCCTATAGCTATATTAGGTACATTCACACTGTTGTGCAACCCTTATCAACATCCCATTTCTAGAACTTTTTCATTATCCCGAACAGAAACTGTACTCGTGACTCTCCCCATTCCCCCTCCCACCAGCCCCTGGAAACCATTCTACTTTCTGTTTCTATAAATTTGACTACTCTAAGTACATCATATAAAGGGAATCATACAATATTTGTTCCTTTGTGATTGTTTTATTTCACTTAGTATAATGTCCTTAAGGTTCATCTCTGTTGTAGCATGTGTCAGAATTTCCTTCCTCTTTAAGGATGAATGATATTACATTGTATGTATATATCACATTTTGTTCATTCATTCATCAGTCCATGGATACTTGGGTTTCTTTCCCCGTTTGGTAACTGTGAATAATGCTGCTGCGAACAAGCATCTCTTTGAATCCCTGCTTTCAGTTCTTTTGGGTATATACTCAGAAGTGAAATTGCTGGATCATATGGTAATTCTATTTTTAGTATTTTGAAAAAAACACCATACTGTTTTCTACTGCAGCTAAACTTTACATACCCACCAACAGTACATGAGGGTTCCAGTTTCGCTACAACCTTGTTAACACTTGATATTATCTTTTTTTTTATAGTGGCCACCCTAATGGATATGATGTCACGTCTCATAGTTTTTATTACATTTCCCTAGTGAATAGTAGTGGTAAACTTCTTTAATTTATTGGACATTTGTATATCTTCTTTGGAAAAATGTCTATTCAAGTCCTTTGCCTATTTTTTAATCATGTTGTTTGATTTTTTGTTATTGAGTTGTAGGAGTTCTTTATTCTGGATATTAACCCTTTATCAGATATATGACTTGCAAGTATTTTCTCCCATTTTGTGGGTTGCCTTTTCACTCTGTTGATTGTGACTTTCGATGCACAGAAGTTTTAAATTTTGTTGTAATCATTTATGTATTTTTCCTTGCTATCTTGTGCTTTTAGAGTCATATCCAAGAAATTACTGCCAAATCCAATGCCACAACACTTTATGTTTTCATCTAAGAGTTTTATAGTTTTAACTCTTATGCTTAGGTCTTTGATCTGTTTTGAATTACTTTTTGTATACTTTGTAAAGTAAGGGTCCAACTTAATTTTTTTGCACGTGATTATCCAGTTTTCCCAAAACCATTTTTTGAAAAGACTGTCCTTTCCCCATTGAAAAGTCTTGGCACCCTTGTTGAAAACCATTTGACTGTATATGTGAGGATTTACTTCTGGACTCTTTATTCTATTCCATTGGTCTATGTCTGCCATTGTGCCAGTACCATACTGTTTCGATTACAGTAGCTTTGCAGTTAGTTTTGAAATGTGAGACTTCCAGCTTTGTTTTTGTTTTTCAAGATTGTTTTGGTTATTTGGGGTATTTTGAATTTCCATATGAATTTTAGGATGAATTTTTATATTTCCATTTTGTCCATTTCATTTAGGTTATCCAATTTGTTGACATACAATTGTTCACAGTACTCTCTAATAATCCTTTTTATTTCTGTCAAATTATTAGTAATTCTTCTCTTTCATTTCTGATTTTAGTTATTTGAGCTTTCTCTTTTTTGTTTTTTAGTCAATCTAACTAAGAAAATTGACAGAATTTTGTCAATTTTGTTGATATTTCTAAGAACCAACTCTTGGTTTCAAGGGTTCATTAATAAATACATTAACTTTATTATTTTATGCTCTTATTTAAATCTATTAGTTTAAAAATACATCCATATAATAAAATTAAAATAAAAATATAGATTGTTAGAATAGACCTAATCACATCTTTAGTGAGTGACACACACAGGAACAAACACACATTTTCTCAGTTTGTACTCTGGAGCAGTTACTCTCCAGGATTTTACTGACAACATTTTGCAGGATAAAATGAGCAGTTATAGATTAAGAATTATATGGCCAAGTCTGTAAAATACCTTTTGAAAATCAGGCAAGCCTCCATCTATTTGTACATGTGCCAGATCTGTCATTTACATGGGTATTTGTCAAAGGATTTCCAGACTGTTAGCATAGTTGGCATTAGTTTAATTAACACTGAAGCTTGTAAATCAAAGTGAAGACTTGCATGTATCCTGTGAGACTTATGTTTTTCACTGCTAAGAATAATTGTACTTTCTGGAGAGAACTGAAAATAGGAAACCAAGAGTACAAATTTGAGTAATTTTAAAATAGTTGTTATGTCTAGTAATGATCTTCTTTTAAAAAATACACAAAATATTTTATTATCTTCAATCAGGTGACACAAGTTTTATAGAATTGGGAATACTGATATTTTTTTTTTATTTCCAATCCTCCATATTTGGTTTATACTCATACTACCCAGCATCTCTACTTAAAAGCAGAACTTAATCTTCTCTCATAAAACTATATAATCATTTAATTATGAGAGAGACTAGTGGTTCTTTTGTTTGCTTTGGGGAGAGCTACACATTTTAATATTGACTCATTTAAAATGCTCTTCAGTAACAAAAAAAATTGTAGCCTCTTTATTTTTAACCAGTATTAAGTCACTCTAAGATCAGTTTTGTACCTTACCTGTTAGGCAAATATTCTTCCTTCCTGTTATTTAATAACATTTTTCTCTGGTTGAGATTGACATAATATATCAGAGTATGCAGGTCTCATGTCACTGTGCTCCTCTGTACTGACAGAGGGGGCACCAGTGCCCATGATCTAGGGGGGCTCCATCAGCCCCAGAGCATGAAGTTGAACACACTGCTGAGCGTGTGAGGGAAATGTGTCAGTGCAAGTATCTCCCTCCTCTTTGATCTGCTCTTTCTTGAGGTTCAGTGATGCAGTTGATGTTACCACCATTCTCCCATTCACCAAACTCAAGCATCACTTCTCCTCTCAGGAGGAGTCAGGTCAGTGGCTGTGATTTATCTAATACTGACTCCCTCCTTGGTATTCACATTGCCATTGTCCTCACCAGGCCCTGCTCGGCCTGTTACAGTAACTACTTAACAAGCCTCCTTGTTTAGGCTCATGTCTCTGATCGATCCTTCACACTCCTTAGTGTTAGCCCTACCTGACCCTCAACTGTTTGCCTTTATTGGTCTGTCTTGTTTCTGCTTTTCAGGGAGGTGCAGTACGTGTACATTTTCAAATTATTGCCAACAGTTAAAAATCAGGAGTTTTACATGAAATTCTCAAGTTTTAACTTCACAAAATACAGAAGACCTGGCCTCTCAGAGTAGACAGCCCTTCCCAGGGTGCAGATCTGAGAGATGGCAATAAAAGTTTCAGCTTTATTTTTGAAAATACAAGCTTGCCTTGAAAATAGGATCAGGCATCCTACCCTTTACTACATAAGAGGAGGCAGGAGAAGAGAGAAGATTTCCTGGGTATCAGGCAGGCTGGGCCAAAAAAAAGGAAGTGGTGAAGATAAGATGTTCTTTTCTCTATCTAATCAATAATTTAAGTCACTCTTACTCCATGAGGTGGGATAAAAGGGAAATAAGATAATAATGGCCAGAATTACTTTACTGGACATCTCCTCATGGAGCCATGGATTCACAAACTAAGCCCTTCTAATAATCACCTTCCCCAAAGGCCTTTCTTAACCATTTGTCTAAAGTTGCCTGTAACCCCGCCCCTGTCACTCTCATGTAATCACTATAATTATTGTGCTTATTTTATGGATTTATTGTCTCCTTCCACAGAATATAAGAAGAGATCATACCTATCTTCTTAAAAAAGTGTCGGATCCACAATACTCATTAAAAAAACGGTGGGGGCTTCCCTGGTGGTGCAGCGGTTGGGAGTCTGCCTGCTGATGCAGGGGACACGGGCTTTGTGCCCTGGTCCGGGAAGATCCCACATGACGCGGAGCAGCTGGGCCCGTGAGCCATGGCCACTGAGCCTGTGCATCCGGAGCCTGTGCTCCGCAATGGAAGAGGCCACAACAGTGAGAGGCCCGCGTACCGCAAAAAAACAAAAAACAAAAAACGGTGGTGAAATGGAAGAATTAGATAATCTGGCAGTGGGGGGAGGGAATGAATGGTCTGTCTTCCTAAATACAGACACACACTGTTAGGAATTTGTCATATTAATAATTCTTAAGTGGAACACAGGGTACCAGATAGTAAGTCACTGCTCAAAAACAGAACACAAGGGAAACTGAAATAGATGTATTACTCACGGGTCATGGAGGAGGTACCTGCCATGTCTTGAGGGGCCACACGGGGAGGTCAAGGCAGAGTGAAGACAAAGAGAGAGGCAGAACCTCAGCATATGCCTTTATTAGGGTCTGTGGGTGGGGTGTTTTAGGGTTTCTGGCCTAAAGCCAGATGGGTCAATTCAAACCAGAAAGGGGGAGAGGTGATTAACCAGGCTCTGGGAGGTGGGGAGACTGTTTCCCAAGAGCAGTTGGGGAAGTCATAGCAGCAACTTACATGTGCTTGCGAATCGGAGGGCTGCTGTCTAAGGCATGTGCTTGAGGGGCTAGTATCAGTGTAAGGCCACTTCATGCTGCCTGGCCAAAAAAAGGAAAAAAAAAAATTGTACCCTGAGGCAGTAATACCATGGAGTGGCTTAGCCAAATCTTCAACACTCACATACACACAAAACCTACCGTTGCTTTGCACTGCCTGTGGTGTATAACATTGGAAGTTCTAGTCTTATTTCCAAGGTCTTATAGGTTTGTGTGATCTGGCCCAAATCTACCTCTCTAAGTTCCTTTCCAAATCCTTCTGTCTAGACATTTGTGCTCCAGAGACAAGGAATTTTTGTTCCCTGAACTTATTTCTTGAAAATGTGAAGACAGTTTACAGCTTTCCTTTGCTTGTGCTCTTCCTTGCTCTATCTTTACTCCTCTTCTTCCACATCACCTTGCAAGATCCACTTCATGTTCTCACTGAAGTTTCCACCATTTCCCTTGGTCAGAATTAACCCCCCTCCTCTGATCTCCCTGGAGCGTGGCTCTGTCAGTATCATAGCTCGCATTTTAATCTTCTCTCTTACACTTCCTGCCTTACATTGCTCTCTCCTCAGCTTCATTGGATACTCATTGCAGACAGAGAGATTTCCATATCCATCTTCTTTGTTAGTTTCAGTGTCTATCATGGTGCCTTCCATATGATGGGAGCGAGATAAACATTGGCTGCATGAAGGAATCACCGTCACTCACTGGATGCCCCTCGTGGCGAGCCTCACTGAGGTCTAATGCAGCCTCCTGAACATGCTAAGGCTTTACCTTCTTCCCCAAGACTCTTCCTTCTGCTGTTCAAGTATTCAAGATAAATGAGGTCAGCTGTAGACAATAACGTCAGGTGACTCCTTCTATTGTTTGCTCTTCTTTTGTACCTACTTTTGCCTACTAAGTGGGAGTAGGAAATAGGGGTGCAGGGAGCTCAGGTCCTGATGTTAACAGTTTGCTTTTCCACCTCAGCCTTCACAGACTACAGGTCCCAGCGCCCAAAGTCTCCTCCTTTTACCTGCTAACTATTAACTGAGGATGCACAGCACAATCTTCAGAGGGTGGCGTACGGACAGCTCCAATTTTTCAGAGCTCCACTTCAACAGCAAGCCTCTATCTGAACGTCCAGACTCCCTCCTGATATCTGTCCTATTGTCTGTCCTCCCTCCACCAAGAATAAAGCCATCTACCTTGTGATGCAGTGGCTCCTGGTCCTTTGGCATGAGAGAGGAGAGCAGGGAGCTTCCAGTGTGTGCCTCTCAGTCCCCAGGTGCTGGGGGAGCTCTGGTGAATGAGATCAGAGTGGAGTCTTGGGGCAAGTTGGGAGATGAGGGACCTGCAGCTCTGAAATTTTACTTCTGGAAAACTGAAAACAAGACGTGTGTGCTTATATATACTACATAAATTAATGTGTGCATGTGCATGTGTGTGTATACATACACATGTATATGTCTACATGTGTGTATATGTATTTTAAATAAAAGAAAAATAGAGAAAGTAACTAAATTGTACTTAGTATCACCAACTGGTTCTGAGACTGTGTCTAGACCAATGATTATAAATAGAACAGATCTAAAATGCATCTATTAATGCAACAAACATGTATAGAAAATCTGCCCTCATGCAACTCAGAGGCTTCAAGGTAGGCAAGCCATATACTAAATAAATATAATTTGTGTTACAAAGAAATAAGGACTGCCATGAGAACATACACACGAGGACCTGACTTGTCTGCCCTGGGAGGGGACACCTCCCCCCAAAAAAGGCG